ACAGTTTTGGGCCGTTTGACGTGAAATGTCCCATATATATAATAAGGAAACTAAATATGGAACATTAATGATAAACAATCATTTATAAATCCAAAATAGTTCTGAAACTATAATTTTAAAGTTACTGTAGCTGAATTCTAAGACAATTTTACATACTCAAAATCTGATTTTTAACCGAATTTCTATATTTAACCAAAGAAAACGTTACTTGTGCAATCTAGTTCTTTATAGTTTGTCTAAGCGGTCCCCGGTAGGGTGCCAGACAACTTTTGTATCGCCGGTATTGTCAACCGGACTAAAACATAATTAATCAAAAATCATTAAATCAAACATTACTCAATACTTAATTAAAACCGACTAAACAAACATTCATATTAACTAGATTTTACGCACGTGCCGCACGTTTATAATTAATAATTAAAATAATAAAATACTATAAGCAGAATTACTTAAATATTCTGAATTATAACAAAGAACCATAAATAATATAAATAACTTACAGATTCTGTATCGATGATAAGTTGACTCGTTATAGGGATCATGATTTCATTTTGCACTTTTAATTTATTATTTATTAGAGAAAACATTAAACTAATAATTAATTGGAATATTGAACTCACTGTAACACATTATTTAACAATTCGAAACCATAAAAGAATTAAACTGTAACTAAACTAGAACTAATTCTGAATATATTACATTTTACTAAAACTGGAGAAATTAACTAATGATGTTAACTCGACAAGGGATCGATGACAAGAGAGAGATTCAAAAAGGTTTTGCAGAATTATTTTAATTTGAAATTAGTACTGAATTTTGGCGTTAGGTGACTTATCGGTATTCTCGATATTTTCATACAAAAAGGGGGGTTTCTCCTACCTTGCTTCTCCCAGAATTCTGAATTACTAATACTATGATACTTAAGGAGGAATGATATAGAAATTCAAAACATTCAGAATCTTTTGATATTTTGGGAAATGATTTGCTTTTATATAATAAAGTTACTCGCCAAATTTCAGAATTTTTCACTAAATAGTTTACAAGTTAAAAATTATTTAATTTAACATTACCTCTTATGGGAAAAGCACGAATTTGCATGTTTATCATTAAAAATTTAATACTTAAAACATTCAGAATTTTTTGTAAAAATTGTATCTTGAAGGTCAAGATTTAAGCTTTATTAATCACGAAGGTTGTTTTTTATTCACTAATTAGTTTAAAAGTAATTAATTAGTTTCTGGAAGAAAACTAATTTTATGACAGACAAACAGAGAAACCCACACATATATACACATTATATACAGTGGCAACACTGTATATAAAGTCTCACATGTGACAGCTGTTTAGTGGTACATAGAACCAAGCGATGGCGCCAAAGGTACCAAAAATGACAAATTTTCATTATTTTTAACTACACAAATGCAAATCATAACAAACCACAACACTTGACACTGTTACCAACGATCAAAAAACAAACTACTTGCATTGCGACGTTGTCACGATTATACGCTCATTACAAATTGTTATTTGACAATGTTTATAATTAATAACATTAATATTACAGCATAATAAGACACATATATACGTAATAATAGCATTTTTCAAAGTTTGCAATGGAATACTCGATAAATCCGAAAATAATTTTTAGAAAATTTCAGTAACTTTTATTTTCTTAGGTTTTAAATTCGTACAGACAGTAACAAAAATTATTTTCTGCTTTTATAAAAAAAATTAATTTCATTAATTTATTATCTTTTCCTTATTTAATATATACTTTTTAATATTCATTGATGTCTACTTTTATGATTTCAATAAGAAAAACTGCTATATGTAGCTTAAATAACAAAATTACAAATTCCTCTAAGTGTCACAAACTTTTCGCCCGATTAGGTATACCATTCCTCCTTAAACTAAAACGACTTTTCCTATGGCAAGATTGCGACCTTCTTGACCATAGGAACCTGTCAATTAACTCAAAAGGAGAGCTTCTTTGCCAAACGAAGTCGCTTTCGTTTGACAAAGCTTGCCAACTCACTAAAACTAAACTAATTTATCAAAATTCCTTAAAGTGGAGCGCCAATGTTTCAATTGGACTTCTGCTAAGTGTAGAATAATTACTTAAACAAATACTAAAACAGACACTGTAACAAATTTACTTTAACAAAGACAATAAATATTACCAAAATTAAAATACTAGAAAAAATGTTCTCAGATTAGTGCTATTGTGACGTAAATCGTAAAAATAACGTCACAACTCTTTTCTCAACGGAAAGATTAGTGAAGGGAAAAACATAAGTAAATAAATATCCTCTAAAATCGGGACACCAACTATTCTGAACTCTAAACGGTTATTGACATAACAAGAAATATAAACGAAACTCTATTATGATAAAACTAAATTTCACAAGGTGCACTCCCGATACCGAGCTAACGCTCTGGAGGTTTAAAAAAAGGACTACTCTCAATTGACTACTTGGGTTCAAATAGTAATGAAAATTGGGAATTGGAAGTATCGGTTCAGATAAGACCACACAACTTTTAAATCCAACACAAAGTACTTAATCTCAGAGACTGAAATCTAATTATACAAACAGTATAATAGCGATGGATGCTGTATCAACAATGGTCATAGGGACACAGGACCGGCTTATTAGTGAAAGGAGGGACAATAATATATTGAAAGTTATAGTGAATTAAGTGAAGTGGTGAAAATTATCTTATTTTATTATGAAGTTGGGACTCAAAGTAGGTACGTCCAAAGGCAACAGAATCCAAGTCTGCGGGACAGAAAATTATGAATATGGAGGCGTTGCTTCAGATTGAGAAGGAAAATTCTTAAGTATGTTTAAAATCAGGGTAGTGAAAATTATGAAAAATATTACGAAAGCAAATTGCGTCCAGAAATGTTGCAAAGATTTACTTTTAAATTAACGCACTTGTACTGTAACGCAAGTAGAACGAAAACTAATTGCTTCCAGAAGTGTTGCAAAGATTTACTTTTAAATTAACGCACTTTTACTGTAACGCGTCGTTCCGACGCCTTGTCACCAAATTTTCAAAAGATTTAATAATAATAAAAAAAACAGGATAGCACTACTCTGATAACAACCGGGGATATTAATTAATAATAATTTATCAATTAACTGCCAATTGTCACCACTGCAGCAAAAGAGAACTTTCCAAAGAAAACTGTAAAGTGCGAGAACGCGACTAATATATTCAGTATCCGGGAAACTAATGAGCATGGCGTCGACCACTTGTTAGGGACATGGTCTTCCCTTGGGTGAGGGGGGTGTCCCCACTTGCGAATTTCCCCCAAAATTTTCAATTTTCAGAGGTAGAGTCAAAGTCATGTGATCACTCACTTTTTCTATATTCGCCCTTACAGAGGACAAATTTAAATTAAAAATAAGAGATAATAATAACTTCGTAAATAAACAGTTAATTAATTTCGTCGATTCAAAAGAGATAAGATATAATTAATAACAGAGGCTTACAAACTTGGTTCATTATGATTGACTTTCAATATTTATAAGCAAAGTAAAGGTCACTGTAACAATGGCCAAAATATTAAAATTCCAAAAATAAACAATTTTCCGAAACAAATCATCGAGACAAAATGAAATTAAACAATGAAGCATGTATAATACTTTGCATCAATTTATTGTCAAATTTGTCAAATACAAAGCCTGCCAACTCACTAAAACTAAACTAATTTATCAAAATTCCTTAATGTGGAGCGCCAATGTTTCAATTGGACTTCTGCTAAGTGTAGAATAATTACTTAAACAAATACTAAAACAGACACTGTAACAAATTTACTTTAACAAAGACAATTAATATTACCAAAATTCAAATACTAGAAAAAATGTTCTCAGATTAGTGCTATTGTGACGTAAATCGTAAAAATAACGTCACAACCCAGGCAACACAGTTACTAGCAATACAAGTAACAAACTTGTAACAAAATAGCGAAAAGCAGTAACAAGTGATATACAAGGTGGTCACAAGATGACATTATATTTCTCACTCAAAGCAGTAACAAAATGTCATAACCAAGAAGTAACATTTAGTTGCCTCAGGTGTCACAATTCAGTAACATTTATCGGCAATGTTTAATAACAGATAACCTCAAAAATTTTTAAGTGCATGAGTTTGTTGTTCGTTAAATAAATTATTGTTTTAATAAAGAAGTGAACTACATATAGTAAAATAATTTATTACATCCCAATTTAATATAACTTGAAATTACTGTATAAAAAGTTATATAAAAACAAAAATATAGTATATGATTACCCTGAATCCATAATTGCAATATATTCAATTCAACATTTATTTCAGTTTCAAATATTTGCAGAGAGAATAAGATTTTGACACTTGAATATAAAATAAATAAAAATAAATAATAACTTTAGCAAAATAAGTAAAGATAACAAAACAATGTTAAAATGACAAAATTTTATTTCCTTTCAATTGGAAAACAACAAAAATTTCTTAACCTTGCTTGTGAGCTTTGTAAAAGTATAATTTATTTTATAATTATTAATTATAATTCTTATAATACTTCATTTTCATTTAGAAAATTTGAATTTGTATATTTTTTTGCTTTATAAAATCTTATCTAAAGTATAAAAATTAGATTTATGCACATTTTCATAATTCGATTCTCTCCATAAAAATTAATATGGGCTCGATTTGAATTTCGAGTCCATTTTAAACTTAATTTTTCATTTAAGACTTAATATAAATATGTTTTATATGAAAACCAGTTATGAAATAATAATTTTAGCAATAGCTAAAATATAGAAAATATATAAAAAAAAATATTTTCATCATATTTTATCAGATACTGAGATTATTTGCGAAAACTTAAATGCGGTTGGGATGTAAACATGAATTTGCTATGTGTGTAAAGGAATTCATGAATATAAATAATTTAAAACTGTATTATATTAATATAATCATATTTATTCCTATTTTCAAAATTGGTAAGATGTCAAGATAACAATACGTAAAAGATAATATTATTTTAATAAAAAATTTTAACAAACGTAGTATTTAAATTGAATTATTAAGTACTTAAGAAAATTTTAAATTTAGTGAAGAGCAGTTTTCTCCCGTCGTTTTCTTTGACCAGCAAGTCTAAACCATTCTTTAACGTTTGCCTCGAACTCTGCTTCCTGCATAGTTGACGTATAATATAAGGTATCTGAAAGTAATTAATACGTTTAAATATTAGTTATATTTTTTAAAATTTTATTTATTTTTTTTATTTTCAATAAAAAGGATATGAAAGATGGTATATGCATACATTAAAAACGGGTCAAAATGTAGAAAACTAACTAAAGTTTTCATATCTTAGCATATATTTTGAATTAGAGTTATATGTTATTGGAAAAACGTGTATTTATATACATTATTAACTATTTAATCGCTAATTTCTCCATTTATAAAAACTAAAAAAATACGTGTATTATATTTTTGTATAAAAAATCAAATATAATAATTAAAAAAAAGGTTCATGAACTTTTCAAAACGAAATCAGCATTTTGAACAATCAAGCATTACCTCTAGTAAGTACTATGAGATGCAATTTCTGAACGGCGAAATTACCCTGTTGTCCTGCCCAGGAACATAATTCTGCACAAGTATTCGTAAACACTTTTGTCAGAACTCGTGCAACTGTATCTTTATGAGAATTACCACCGGCAATTGAAACAATGTATTTCTAAAAAAATATGTTAGTCATATTAATATACTCGCTAAATCTATCCCGAGTCAAAATTTAAAATTCTGTGTAATTCTTTAACTATTTTTCTTTAGAGAGTAAAATATATACATACGAATTGTTTTACTGCATCTTCATTTTTTAACAATAGATTCTCAAATTCCGTAATTTCTCCAACTTGTTGTAGTGGTAACTTTGAATTGATTAAGTCAAGAGATAAAGGTTTTGGTGCTGTTTGTTCAAGATGAACACGTTCCAAAATTTGCAAACGATCTTCAATACTTTTAAGATATAAATTTATAGTTGTTAATATTCTTTCAATTGACATGAAATAATCTGTGGAAATATTATTATAGTTAAAACAATTATAATTATAATTTAGGGTCTTAAAACAATAGTAGGATATAAATTTTAAACTCTTGGAGTTTTAAAAGTCAAAAATCATTGCGAATATAAACCCAGTAAAGAAAAACTAATTGAAATAAATTAAAAAGAATTCACAAAGAGTTTCAGTGAATCCCGCTTTATGACAAATACGAATTGAAGCTATATTGCAATTTTCCTAAATTCGTCAAACTGTATTGAACTTCCAAACCTTCTATTCTTACTAATTCAATGGACAAGTTTTGGGACCTTTAATTTTTTTTAATTCGTCACCACGAATTCAATGCAGACCTTGGTTATTTCTTATGAATGCGATTTCGTTTGCACAACTTCAGGGAAATTGAATTGAATTCAATTGAATATACAAAGAGCTTGAATGAATCCCGCTTTCTACCAAAAATCTTAATTCATTTCAATCCGTTTGAATTAGTTTTTTTTACTGGGAAACTTTTATAAATTGATAATGACCTTACCTGATAGATTTTCATTTTCTTCAAAATCGGATAGGTCTAAAATGAAATTCTCTTTGTCAATGCCATCATGTAATCGCTGTTTCAAAATACGTTAGTCAGTATTAATTTTTAATAAATCATTCTGGTTATTTCCATTATTCAAAAGTACATCCGGATCATTATTATCATTCTCAGATTCTGGATTATGAAGATCACTTGATTTATTTTTGTTAACATCTGCTACGTTTAGCACTTCTTCATTGACAAGTGTTACAACTTTTTCAGCTAAGTTAACATCATTATCTTTTAATTTTTCATCTGAGTTAGATTTGTTTAAATCTTCAATTGACAAATTTTCACTGTCAAAATTATTGTTATTATTTGGAGGAATTTCACAATCAGAAACGAAATCTTCAGTGTAACGAGATGGTGGTTTTATTACTCTGCGACGGCAATCATCCTCCTCTTTGTCGTCAACTTCTACAGAAGATTTGTCTGCTGCATCTCGAGCCTCTTCATAGCACTCTAAGAATATTAAAGTTATTAGTAATATTTTTTTCATTTCATTTAGTAAATTGAACTAAAAGTATTTATGTAGCAAAATAATTGAGTGTTTTCATATGTAAGCCATATTGTTGGAACCTCTTGAAACGAATTATCTTCATCAAGGAATTTAACGACAAGATATTTCTTTGACAATATCTGAAATTAAAAATGAAAGGTAAATGTATATATATATATATAAAGAAATGCAGTTGACCAAATATTTTTATCACAAGATTTCAACGGTTTATATGTACTTAAACAGATGGTATAAATATATTTGTTTAGAATCTTAAATACATAAATGTAAAATCTCACCAACAAAAATAGTTTTTATTTTAAAATTGTTTTCTATTTAGCATGTGTCATTGGCAGTACTACAAAGTCAAGATTGTAAGGTAGCTTCACACATTTTAATTGAACTCTAGAAAGCAGAACTTCTTCAGAGTTCGGCAAAAACTTGTCGGTTACTAACGATATTCCAATATGCCTTGAATCAATCTTCATCGATTTGTCAAAAAAAGATTCACCTCTCAAAAATCGACGAACTTTAATTGTTAAGGCACCATTTATTTTAAGGATATTAGAAACACTAACAATGGAACCATCATCCAGCATGCAACAATTATTGGGTTCGTTTTTTGTAATGACAAAGTTTTCAAATTCAACTTTTGTAATTGTCCCAGTTTTCTCACAGGTAATGATTTTAGGAAAATCGCTTTTCTTTTTCTGTTTAATAGGTAATAAATTTTTCTCACAATGTCGGTTGATAATTTGCTCCAATGGCTTTGCACTAGTTTGTAAACAATTACTAATTTTTTGCATGTAATTTTCAAACGGAAAACTACTAATTTTGTCCAAATTTCCAAATTTTAAAACCTCTTCTCCTAGGTGTAATAGGTTATGAACATTGTACGATAAATTTTTTCTACCATATAAAAGGACGAAATTTTCAACAAAATATTCCATTAAAGACTCTGCGTACTTCACCCACTTTACATCTTTACTTGATTTAGGAGAGAGAAAAATTCGCATAGCGACGCTTAAAGTGATAAAATGATTATACAGATCTTTTGTTAACACATCAAGCAAAACCAGCGGTCCAGTATATAATAAGAATTGCCGAAATTCTGTAGCCTTCCAGTTTTTATATTCACTAAGAGGCCGAGGTTTTCGAGAAAATTCTTCTGGTATAGATGAAGATAAATTTTCCAGGTTTGCATCCAATGCTTCTAGAACTGTTTTGGGAAACTTACAATTCCACTTTTTTCCAGTAACCCACAATTTTATTAAATGCTTAACTACACCTAAGCATACAAGGTGCATGTAGTCGATAACAATTTGAGTAATCATTCCAATATTTAGTCTTTCTAGAACGCATATCCCACTTTTATGATGTTCAGGTCTGTCTCGACGACGAAAACTTTCATCAGTTCTTAAAGTTCCTATTTTTTCTGAGAAATTGACGCAATCTTCGTAAGAACCTTTTCCAAAACAACATTTGGGGCAACTGTAGTATTCTGAAGGGTGAATAGTATTTGTCACACAAGCCTTAGCTGGTGCGTCGCATACTATAGCGTTTATAGATATTGCGATTTTTTTACCATTTATCAATAAACCATTTTTTGAAATTTCAGATGCATCATCAACAAAAGGCTCCATTAAATTATTGAAATTTGCAGGTTTTTTTTCGCCATGATAAATACCCACAAGAAAAGGTTCTGTATAAAAATCTGTTACTATTGAAGCTAGAATTGGCCAAAAACTACTGTTAGAACTCTTTGCTATAGAAATACCATCCACGTTAATATTAATTTTTATCTCATTCGGATAAGTCTCAAAGTAAGTTTTTAAAGAGCGTTCAAGACCTGAACTTATGCCGAAATGGTAATAACGTCCATTATCTATTTCAATAATCTTAGACGTTTCGGATCGCGGTGTACCTTTGAGAGTTCGACTATCTTTTGGCAATTCCTTATCGTGACCATGATTCTTTAAAATTTGTAGAAGTTTATTGCACTTACTTCCTGCTATATTATCATTAACGACTAATTCTTGTAAATCTGTTCGTATATTCTGAGGAGTTTCACATTTGTTTACTTGACTTTCCTGAACTGAATTTGTATTTGCAGATGAAGTAGATGAATTAGATGAAATTTTATCAGTTTCACAATACAACTTTCGTTTTTTCTCATTATTTTGCAGTGAACTTTCACGCATTACTGTGTGGACTTCTCGCATTGAAATCATCTGATTTATGGCACTTTGATCAAAACATGTTTTTTTTCCTTCTGGTAATTGAGACTCAAATGATTCTTTACAACTTAATTTTTTCTCAATAATTTGATCCTGTCTTCTTCTACTCAATAAATGGAATGGCTTCGACATTTTATATTTTACTATTTTTCGAAATTAAAAGTACAATATTATGTTCAATATCGAATTTCTTAAAAATGAAAGAAGCTTATAATAAATCTGAGTTTCCTGATTAGAGATGATTTTATGAGAACCTATAATTAATGAAATACTTTTTTAATACTTAAGTTTAGTGGATTAGTGCTGGATTTTTTTGTTATGTGACACGACACGAGAAAAGGTACCTATCATTTAAAAAAATTGATTTTGAGTTTATGGTGCAATTCAATAAATTTTAGCGTAAATACACTGGTTTTCTGTTAATTTTAAAACTCGCCCTGTAAAATTCTTTTTTGCGGCGATAGATACCTTTTCTCGTCTCGCGTCACATGTAAACATTAATCAGAATATGCAATTATAGAAAACCTATAAATTGTATTTCAATTTTTTTACCAGTTAATTAAACTTAACCTCAAAATAATTTCTCGTATGAAAGTTGCACTTTATACACGCAAACAGTAGCATAAAATTTTTTACATATATTCAAAGAAAAAGGGTCTAAAGTTTAAAAGAATCAACAATTTCCAAACTAACACTATTTGTATTTTACCTTTTCATAAATTTCATCTGGAAACTGATCAAGAAAAGATTCGTTTTCCATATCGAGTAAACTTATTTTGTCTTTCGGGTCTTCCTTGAACGTATAACACTCTTTCAGGGTTATTAGGCCAATGCCTTCAAAAAATATAAATTTTGCTCACAATTTTTGTTCATAAATTCAACAATATGAACACTTAAAGTATACAATAACTAAAAAATGTAATCAAAAGTTAAAGAAGCAACTAGCAACACTAGAAACATGTGCCAATTCATCTGCGTAGCATCCAAGGTTGGAAAGTAGTCTCACTTTAAAACAGGGTTGACTAGTTACGCGTCACTCGAGGTTTTTGATATTAAATACGTAAAATACCTAAGTTTGTCTGTATTTACATATCTACGTAAGCCACGACATTGATTAAAAGTGCACGCGTTGCAAATATAATTTCTTGTTCGCAAACCTTTCAACACAACTTGTATTGAGGTTATGTTGTTGCCAAGGATGGACTTTTTATTTTAAAGTTACCATTTTTTATTTTTGACTGAGTTTTATCAGAGGTAAGTAATTTCAATTAACTTTATTATTTCAAAATGTGCACAGTGAAATTTAAAACAATATAACGTGTTAAAAAATTTGTATGAAAATTTATGTAAATTCAAATTTACAATAATATTCTTACAATGTTATATACAATATTACATAATATTGCTTCTTGTTGAAAATAGAAAAAAGAAATTTTTGTGTAATATAAAGAGCAATTATAAAATTAAATCAAATTGAGAACTGATGTTTTTTCCTTTAGAAAATTGTTTTTTGTTTCTACGTGCTGAAAATATAAAGTGAAACTATACGTATTGTCTTACTAATTCAAAAATTTTACAGAAATTAATATATATATATATATATATATATATATATATATATATATTAGTAACTTCGTACTTCATCGTTCGGTCGTTCGGCTTTTATCATTTATTCATCGTATCGTATGCATACATACTCATTGTACATACATATACGCATGCGCAGTAGTGTTCTGTGAATGTCAGGCATGCGCAGTAGTGTTCTATCAATGTTAGGCATGCGCAGTAGTATTCTATCAATGTCAGACATGCGCAGTAGTATTCTGTGAATGTCAGGCATGCGCAGTAGTGTCCTATCAATGTTACGCATGCGCAGTAGTGTTCTGTGAATGTCAGACATGCGCAGTAGTGTCCTATCAATGTTACGCATGCGCAGTAGTATTCTATCAATACCAGGCATGCACAGTAGTGTTCTGTGAATGTCAGGCATGCGCAGTAGTATTCTATCAATGTCAGACATGCGCAGCAGTGTTCGGACAATGTTACGCATGCGCAGTAGTGTTCTGTGAATGTCAGGCATGCGCAGTAGTGTTCGGACAATGTTACGCATGCGCAGTAATGTAAGGACAATGTCAGGCGTGCGCAGTAGTATTCAATCAAATGGTACGCATGCGCAGTAGTGTTCTGTGAATGTCAGGCATGCGCAGTAGTGTCCTATCAATGTTACGCATGCGCAGTAGTATTCTATCAATGCCAGGCATTCACAGCAGTGTTCGGACAATGTTACGCATGCGCAGTAATGTTCTGACAATGTCAGCCATGCGCAGTAGTGTTCTATCACTATAAAGCATGCGAATAACATTCAGAACTTCAAAATTAAATTTTTTAATCCATACATAATCTAAAAATTATTTTTCTACAATACAAAATTTCCAAAGCTCAAAATGTCCAAAATATGAAATTTTTAAAATAAGAAGTGTTGAATTGTAATGTAAGTGAAAAGAATTAGATTATTGAGTATTGAGATTTAACAATTCTATTTCTGTGTAAGATGTTTTTAAAACATCATTATTGTCAATGTTTTACAAAAATTTAAATAACTTCTAAAAACATGAACATTTTTAATGATCTTAAGCTTACTTTAAAGATTATTTTCTACAGAATGGGAATTACTTGTAGACATTAACGTGTAATTTTTTCTTAGAAATTGCAGGTCGGCAAAATTATACACAAAAATTTCAATTTGAAATAATTTTTTTGTACAAAAAACTATCCTTCAAAAAATATAAAACATGATATGGCGTAGATTTTTCAAGAAAATTTAGTAAAAAAAATATGTTTGAATTTTAAAAATTATTCTTCTGTTAACCCGTTGCCTATTAACGACCGTTGGGTAGTAAACTTCTTAGCGCAAAATAAATGCAATTTCTTATGTAATTTATAAAATAAATAACGCATGATATTATTTTTATATAATTATTAACACACTATTGATTGCAAGGATCCTTAATTAAGTAATAAATAAATGATTATTTATTATTTTTAAATGATACACTGAGAGACCTTTGGGTCAGCAGCAGACTTTCGATAGGCTGCTACTGACCATTTTGGAGGAACGCTACAGGACTATACTTTTGGGT